CATGTTTATTCCATATTTTCAATTCATATATTTATCTGTATTTACTCTCAGAATTCTTTAATTTTGTAATTTCAAAAACCAAAATTAATGACATTCTTTAAAAAAAAAATTATCCACATGTACTGACTTTACATTTATTCTCAATCAATATACTTGAGTCTAATTGTGTTGTAACTTAGGGAAAGATACTGAATAGAATAATCACACAAAGGTTGGTAATGAACAATAATACTTAGGACAAGAACAACACATATAAGATTTGCCAGCAGTGCGTAGAAGTAGTAATCAACTGCTAGAAGTGAATCAAGTGAATTCCACAATGACTCTCCAACTGCAGGATATTTATTGTATATAAAATACAATTGTGGCACAAGGCCAAAATGGGGAGGGGTTGAGGCTGGTCCTCACTAACTATCTTATACCTAGCTAATCTGATTTACGACCCATTCACACATTACAGTTTCCACATTCACCATAAAAATTCGTCCTTCACCAATCAATCCTCCATCCACCATAATACCACATCCTTTCAAGGGGAAACCTACAAAACGTTCCCCCATGCCTTAAAAATTTAATGATAATAAATATAAATATAAAATTCTAATAATGAAGAATGAGAGGGGAGGGAGATGAAGCCAATAATAAAACTAAAACTCAACACAATGTAAACTAAACATAACTGACTCTCCAACTGCAGACAAACATACAGTATTTACTACTGTATTTATGTGAATGGGAACAAACCCATTATCATCCATAGGTATGCTACAACAAATTGCTAACACATTAAAAGTAAATATATCCTAGCTAACTTTAAACACAAGAAATCCAACCTTACTATCTAATAAAATAAGGCATTCTCATGATAACATGAGGGAAATTTACTTACTTGTGTCAAGTAATGCCTCTTATTACTATGACAAGAGAATATCTCATTACTAAGTAGGGGAGATCAGGTTGCATAACCAGTTAATATATAAAATCACATTTTGTTTTATATTATTTGATTTGATTGTTTCATTTTCTACAGCTTATCAACCCCGTTGCAGGTTATTTAAAGCCAGAAACTACTTTTAGATTGTAAGAATTTTTTTTTTTTTTAGATAATAATGATTTAGTGATACAAGTCTTACTATTTAATCCATAGCTGGAAGGGTAGAAGAAGTGGATCCATACTTTCCCAAAGGTATTTGCACGTAAGTGAATATAACAAACTGAAATAGAATTGGAACTCAACTCTCCGATTAACAATTCCAAGCCATTATTCATTACATGACCTGCACATCAAAAGCTCATAGATCTTCCCAATCGGTCACCCATCTAGGTTCTAACCAGGTTAAATGTTGCTTAACTTCAGTGATTGTATGGGAAACAGTGTTTCAGTATGATGTGGTCATAAGCCTTTTTTTTTCATATAGAATAGATTATACACATTAGTGCTTATGTATATATGAACTTAAATATGTACAAGATGGTATTGGAAAGTTCCTTAATGAACATCTGGAAGAATTCTCTGTTTCCAATCATATAAGAGGGCTGATGACTTGTTTGATGATGGTTCTTATGGATGAGGCCATAAATTGTTTCTACATTTTCTGGCATTTTACTTGTGATTGGTCATGATGATCACACACCATCTTGAAGCAACACTAGAGTGGCCTTGAAATAGGCATGCCACTTAAAAACCTGCGTTAAACCTCAGTTATGTTTGACAAAAGCCTGAAAAACATTTCAGGGTTAATGAGTGTGAAAGAATATGAGAAAAAGAAAAACATTAAAGACAGAGAACAATAAAAGAACAGGAATTAAGAAGACAGAAGACAATGATTGATGTTGTATTTAAATTTTTTAGATCAAAGTTGACATGAAAGCAAGAAACCTGAAGAGAATTTCACTAGCAAAAAGTGCAAGACAAGAAACTGTTAATATAGAACTTACAAGGTCTGACAAAGTAAAACTGGCAGCTGCTCTTGAAAATGACCTCCAATCAGTGGTTAAGTGGAGCAAGGAAAGGCCTCCAAAAACAAAACTGCTTTCATTTAATCACCATAGAGAACCTTTTTTGTCTTCCATCAGACTCACTCTAGGAGAACATCTTGGGTTCACATTTTGCACTAACATGAAGTTGAGGGGTTATACAGAATCAACTGCACAATCTACTGCTAGGAAAGGTGGTTCATTGTACTGTGCTAGACATTTTTTCTCATTAGAATACATCTTGCATGTTTATAAATCTACTATTTGTTTGCACATTGAATATTGCTGCCATATCTGGGATGGTGTTCCTGCTATATATCTCAAAATTCTTGACAAGCTCCAAAGAAGTTTGTGGCAATGTTATAGGTTCTGACCTGGCATTTTGACTTCAACCATTTTTCCACTGCCATGACATGGTTTCCCTCTGTCTTTTCTATAAATATTTTCATGGAAATTGTTCTGATGAGCTTTCCTTTTGTTGCCTTGAACGCACAATTTTAAGTGTACTACTAGATTGGCAACTGGAGCTGGCCATTTTACTGTTGAACTAACTAGATGTAACCATAAGTTTTGTTCTAATAGTTTCTTTTCTCACACTTCTCACTTGTGGAACTCTCTTCTGGTTTCTTGCTTCCTTGCCACCTACAATCTTCAAAGATTTAAATGCAATGTCAGTCGACATCTTCTGTCTTCCTGAATTCTGTTCTTTTGTTTTTCCTTTCTTTTCACTAATTCTCTTTTACTCGCAGTAACTGCTTGATTCTTGTTGGCATTATCACCTTGCTTGGGAGGAAATCATTAAAAAATTTTAAAAATCAATCAAGTACACATAAGGTATTTTGCTAAAAAAAAATTTGCTCTGCAATAGCTTCCTGCTACAGTACATTTTCAAACAAAATTTTCTAAACGTCTGTGAAAAGTGACAAATTTATAAGTGGGGGTCCTAAAAATTAACATGGGTGGGGGGTTGTTTATTTGGCACCTCATTGTACATTATTTTTTTCCATTTTGCGTTGTTTTTCCCTGTCCAAGTATTTATAACCAGAGTGATGTGATAAAGAGTGACAATAAAGACGTTGAATAAAACTGGTAATAAAATAATCACAGGTGGTAAATATGTTATACTTTTATAGCGGCATTCATCACGAACAAATATATTGACTGAGTTATAAAATATCTCTTATCACTTTCTTCTTTTATAGTAATGTTCATCCAATACAAGGCCCAAGAGCCACTCAAGGTGACTGAATGAGGTTGTTGTAAAAGTGGACAAGGAGTGAGTAAGAAGTGCATATTATGATGGATATATAAGATAGATAACAGTTGATACTAAACTTGAAGAGGTTAAGATTGTAGGGATTGGATTATTTTGATTGATTTATTGATTTTGTATGGGTTATCAAACCCTGAAACATATTTCAGAATGTGAGGAGTACCTGGTGTTCCAAAGCTGTTCCCCCATCTCACTTAAGTACTGACTGGGTTCAACACTGCTTAACTTTGGTGTTTGAACAAAAACCAGTGTTTTCAGCATGAATTGATCATTAACCATAGCATTCAGAGAAGCATTAGCAAGTTGTTCTGCAACTTAACACTTCTGGGTGATTGAGTGATTCGTTTTCTACGGCTTATCAACCCTTTGCAGGTTATTTAAAGCCAGAAAAGATTTTTAAAAAATAATAATTATTTTTACTGATACAAGTGTTATTATTTAACTCATAGCTGGAGGGAGAAGAGGTGGATTCATAACTTGTATTTTGCATGTAAGTGAATATGATGAACCCAACTAAAATTGGAACTTGGCTCTCTAATTTCCAATTCCAAGTCATTATCCATCATGCCACCTGGCATTTCCAAGCGGTCACCCATGTAGGTACTGACCTGACTCTATGTTGCTTAACTTAGATGACTGTACCAGAACTGGTGATATCTGGCCATAAACCAACAGTTCTGGAAAAGAAGCTGAGTGGAACTGCCTCCTTACAAATGGAATATAAAAGGACTGGGGATGAGTTGACTAAATATGCTGCATTATGAGTCCTAGCTGTAAAAGTCTGTAAAGGAATGTAGGTCATCTGAACATCTACCATGATGAGAAGCTAGCAATGCTTTATCTATGACAGAGAACAAAATAGATATATCCCAGAGTGTTGTGTTGTGTAAAAATAAAGATATGAATTGATTGATTTGTTTTTTATGGCTTATTGACATTCTTAAGATTATTTAAAGCCGAAACATATTTTTGGATTATAAACATTTTGGGGGTATAATAATACTTTTCTGTTACAAGTATTATTATTTAACCTATAGCTGGGAGGAAAAGAAGGGGATACGTCCCTTTTCCAAGGGTATTTGCATGTAAGTGAATGTAATGAACCTAACTGGAATTCAAACTCAGCTCTTCAATTTCTCATTTCAAGCCATTATCCATTACACCACCCGCAGATCCAAGCTTATAGCACTTTGTATTCTCGAACAGTCACCCATCTAGATACTGAACAGGTTCAACATTGCTTAACTTTGGTGATTGGAATCCAAGCCAACAAAGACATTAACTAAACATTGCAGGCAAATAAGTTACATTTTTATTCTCCTTTGACAAGAGTCATCATCAAAAAATGTATTGACTGAATTATAAAATATCTCTTCTCACTCCTCAGGATAAGTTCTTTGTTTTGGTAATTAACTCTTGACCTTCTACATGGCACGAAACACTTTGTTCTCGGTCAATTTATTATACCAACTAAAAACTAGACTTACATTCAAAGTTAGTTTCTTTTTAAAAGAATTAAAAAGAGACATGCCTGAAGGAAAAAGAAAACCAAGAACGATATGGTGAAAGCCTATGGAGAAAGACAGAAAAGCAATAGTCTTGTGATCCTGGGGTGGGGAAAAACTGGTAGCTGTGGACAGGGCAGAGTGGAAACATTCTGTGGAAGCCATATATGTGCCATGTGTCACTAAGATAGATATAGATAGATACAGACTGAGATAGATATAGATAGATACAGACTGAGATAGATATAGATAGATACAGACTGAGATAGATATAGATAGATACAGACTGAGATAGATATAGATAGATAGATACGAATAGACTATGATAGATAAATAGATAGAAACAGACTTAGATATTAATAGACTATGATAGATAGATAGAAACAGACCGAAAGTGATAGATAACAGACTAAGATAGATAGATAGAAACAGACTACAAGAAACAGACTGAGATAGATAGATAGATAGAAACAGACTATAACAGAGAGATAGATAGAAACAGACTATAACAGAGAGATAGATAGAAACAGACTATAACAGAGAGATAGATAGAAACAGACTATAACAGAGAGATAGATAGATAGATAGAAACAGACTATAACAGAGAGATAGATAGATAGATAGAAACAGACTATAACAGAGAGATAGATAGAAACAGACTATAACAGAGAGATAGATAGAAACAGACTATAACAGAGAGATAGATAGAAACAGACTATAACAGAGAGATAGATAGAAACAGACTATAACAGAGAGATAGATAGAAACAGACTATAACAGAGAGATAGATAGAAACAGACTATAACAGAGAGATAGATAGAAACAGACTATAACAGAGAGATAGATAGATAGATAGAAACTATAATAGATAGATACAGAACTTAATTTAACTTTTAAAAATCTGATTGAAATTTAATCTTCGTTACAAAAATTATTGAATCTTATTTTATGCATTATTTCTTTTTCTTAAAATTAATTTGGGCTTTTAAAAATATGTAGGGGCTGTCATAATCTCCCAATTTATTTGAATTAATGCCTTTATTCTGGTATCTATTGTAACAATGTTTTGGCTGTAGTACTATAGAGACTTCTTCAAGTATCTATCATAGTTGGTAACCTTCTAGGAATTTCAAATTAGCTAAGAATTTGAATTTGTCTTCCCAATTCCACTGGAGTTATTAAATATTACTTATTTCATTTTTTTTTATCCTGTGACCCATAAGGGTCGTAGGGGCACCATGCGTACTGCAACAACAGTAGAAGTGGCATTTCTTGGGCAAGATAGCATGACGGAGCCCAACCCTCTCCAGGACAGTTTGGAATTCAGAGTTTTTCCTTTTATTAGACTGGTTGCCACCCAAGGTTACAGAACCCAATTTGTCCTGCTATTTACCCATAGCAGGGTGGGGAGGAAGAAGAGTAGTCATACCTTTTCCAAGGGTATTAGTACTTAAGTGAATATAATGGATCCAACTGGAATTCAAACTTAGCTCTTCAATTCCTCAATCCAAGCCACTATCCATTACTCCACCTTGCCTTCTTTTACACTTATTTCATTACTGTCAATTAAAAATTACTTTTATTTTAAGATGCGCTAGTAGGGCTACCCAGTGTTGCCTGTGTATTATATTAAAATAAGTCCAGTAATATAGAAATTTACCATGAAAATTATTATTAATAATAATATTTTTGTATTTAAACCTGACATAATTTAATTTATTAAATTTTCATTAAAATCTAATTTATTTTTTGTCACTATTTAACCTTTAGCATCCTGCATTATTAATATTACTGCCCTTTCCATTGCATTCTTTTTCAATTGCAGTATCCTTATTATTTATTTCTCTCAAAGTTGTTTTCTGTTGCCATAGCAGGATATGACAACACAACTATGAAATTCAAACACACTATTGTTCAGGGATCAATCACCTTCAGTGACAGGATAAATGTTTTGTACAGCAAATGAAGTCACATACTGAGTGATAAAGTTTTTTTCTTTTTAATTGGGATAACCCCAAGCAAGACAATAATGGCACTTATAACACAAGGGGTTACAGGGTGTGGAAGAATTAGGAACAGAAATATTAATAATGAGCAGAAAGAGTAATCAGGTGGACAGTAGATAGCAATTGACAGTGCATTTAATTTTTTGCAGATTAAAGTCGACTGGAAAGCATGGATCCGGAAGGGAATTCCACAAGTGAGAAGTGCAAGAGAAGAAACTGTTAGCATAGAATTTATGGCTAGATCTAACCAGCTGAAGTGTAAATTGATGAGATCTTGATGCCAGTCTAGTGCTGCGATTAAAAAAAAAAAAAAAAAAAAAAAAAAGGCTAGGTTAAATAAATCTATTAAAAAAAGAATTGTTAACTGCTCTACATCTTTTGTGTGTATGAGTATCAATCTTAAACTCCAAAATGACAATATTTAGTGTTATAATGAATACTAACTGCCTTAGCTGGAGTTTGAACCTTGTGCTTTAGTTTACTATTCCCCCCTCCTCTAACTCAGTAAGTTCCAACAGGTAGCAGGAGGTTTGTCAACCCTGGTAATGAAAATAGACTGAACCATTTAGTTCAATATATTATTCTTCTATGTACCGTATCCCTTCAAGATGTTGGCTCTCAAGAACTTTTTGTCCATTGTAACACTAAATAAATTTTGTCTTTTCACCATTTCTACCAAATCTTACTTTGTCCTCCATTTACTAAAGCTCATCTTTTTTCTTGTTATGTTCCCTAGAAATTTCAGTTCTCTTTTCCTGATGTCAGGTATAAGCTTTTTTGTTTCCATTTTCTCTAGAACTTTGTCATTGCTCACAAGTTTATTTCATGGTATTCTCAGCATCCTTCTGTAGAACTACATTTCTATTGCTTCAAGTGTTGTCTTCATCTGTGAAGAGATTGCATTCACTGCCATATAGAAGGATCGATATTACATAACAGTTCAGTACACTTTTCTTTGGTTCAACATATACCCCAACAGTTTCTACTTAATCAGATCTTCTTTGTTGGCTTCTGTTCCTGTTGTATCGACCTGAAAATGTAAGCCATTAAAACCATTTGGATTCTAAGACAGCCTGTTCTTAGGAAGATTTTAATAATTTATTTCTGTTCACTTTATATAAACAAAAATATTTGTAAATGAAAAACTTTTTTAATTTTAATTTAGTAATTACTCATTTTTAATTTAATTTTATATTCATTGTATATAATTATAATTTCATTTATATTTAATTTTATATTATTTTAATTTTAATTTGGTAATTCCTTATTTTTAAATTAATTTTATATTCAATGTATATAATTATAATTTAATTTATATTTAATTTTATTTTAATTTGGTAATTCCTCATTTTAATTTAATTTTCATTTAATTTTATATTTAATTTATATAATGTATAATTATAATTTAATTTATATTTAATTTTAATTTAATAATTTCTCATTTTTAATTTTTAAAGATTTTTATGCTTAATATTATTCTAACGAATAAAATGTTCCAAATTATTTTTGTTATGAAAGGGAGACTCTCGTTTTCACTTATAAATCTTTGTAATTTCAAAACACATATGCCTTTTTATAGTAAATGATCGTCCACCTATTCCTTTAACATTTTCATTTTCAAGCCATTGTTTATTTAAAGAAATAATTTAATGATGTGGGGTTTACATATGTAAATAAATAGAAAGTTGTTTAATGTTTATTAAAAAGTTTAGTGTTTTTATATTAGTCAAGAAACAAACATATTAATAATAATCTTAGTCAAGAAACAAACATATTAATAATAATCTTAGTCAAGAAACAAACATAAATAATAATCTTAAAAAATTGTCCTTTATCAAATAAAAAGTACAGAATATTCTGCAATTCATTCATTAACTTTGCTACAGTTTTGAAAAAGATTTTCCCTGTTGCATGTGTGTTTGTGCTCAGCAATGAGAGTGAAATGAACAAAATCTGAGGCTTGAACTAACTGTTTAACAGCTTTTATTTCTGGTTGAAAGAGTGCAAAATAGTAGTATTTTGTAGGAAAAAAATGGGTTTCCCAATTAACAAAATTTTTAAGTAGTTTTTGTTGAGGGTGATTTAAGTAGTTTTTGTTGAGGGTGATTTAAGTAGTTTTTGTTGAGGGTGATTTAAGTAGTTTTTGTTGAGGGTGATTTAAGTAGTTTTTGTTGAGGGTGATTTAAGTAGTTTTTTTGTTGAGGGTGATTTAAGTAGTTTTTTTGTTGAGGGTGATTTCTCTGTTAGTTTCTCTGGGAGGAACGAGAAGTCTGTGTCTGAAACTGTGAGGACAGGCTTCATCTTCTTCAGCAAGGGTTGTGTGTAGTTTTCCTTTGGTAGGTGCCTTGAAGGAAAATTTCTCTGCCAGTTTCCACAGGCAGAATGAGAAATCTGAGTCAAGCTGCCAAGACAGACCTCATCTGCAGCAAGGGTTGTCTGTGAGCTCTTCGAGCTGGGCTTGAAGGTAGAAGTAGCTGAAAATGAAAAGTGGGAAAGAGTGGGCCTTGAATGTAGAGTCTGCTGAAATGGAAAATGGAGATGGAAAAGGAGCTCTGTTAGTGTTTTTAGGATTTTCATTACTGCTGCTGCAAGCAATGTAAGGAAACCACTACATGCCACAATAGTAACAAGTTTCTATAGTTTATTTTTTAAAAATTGATTGATGTTGGGTTTGAATTGGAAACACTAAAATATCAGTATATTTTTTTCCTATATTTTCTAATGCTGACCATTGCATATACTTTTATATACAAATATCTTCTATTATATAAAGTGAATAGAAATAAATTATTTATCAAGACCTTCCTTGGGACATGCTAAATTAAAATGTATATGATTTTAAACATCTAAATATTGTAGATTAGCAGTTTCAAGTAGACATGCATGCATACAGATGAATGCCCTTTATAGAACAATTACTGTGCTGCAAAGATATAATATAGTAGTTTCTATTTGTTAGAATAAAAACCAATTATATAGTGTAATTTTACTTACTTTCCACAATAAACAGTGGTAAAAAATTAAACTGAAAAATGAAAAGATTAAAAGAATACATGGGAAATTATTTTATTTAATAAAGTGCTTATTTGTTTTAAAATTACAAACATTTTTTTCATGAAAGACAATAGGCTTGAATTGCAGAATAGGGAGTGGGAAGGATAGTGAAAAAATAGATTGTTAAGAGCTACAAAGGATGGGAAGTTGTGGAGATCCATGATTGCTCAATTTCTGAAGGGACATGGAATATAAAAGAAGACAAAGACTGTTTAAAACAAACTTCATAGTTAATAGCCATTATTGTTGGTTACTTCTTCAAAGACACTTTATTTTAAACCACAAGGTGTTTCAAAGAATTTGATATCATTTGAGATTTAAATATCTGAGTGACTACACAGTGTAGGCAACTGAAACTAAATACTTATTGTTGAGCAAAATGAGATTTATTCATCAAAGTTTGAATGAGAAATTCAAAGGTATGTGGATTTCATAAGTTTTCTACAGAATTGCTTGCATTTTTACTTGTCACCTGATTTTAAGGCCTGAACAAGCTGCATCTTGCAGAGTGTCATTCACAAGTATTTCCTTGTGGTAGACCAAATTGTCATTGCAGGAATCTGAGTTCCCAGACTTGATCTTATTATAAACTTCCTAATGGTTTGCAAAAATGTTTCCCTGAACTTGGTCAACCATCTCTTCCGATACTGTTATTATCAAGATAATTTTCCTCTGTGCAGACAGACTTCCTCTTTGAATTTTTTGTGCCACATCCAAATCTGCATTGCAGTTGGTGCCTTTTTAGAAAATTCTATCATAAATGCACACTGAAGTCTTGTTTGACTGTTCAAGCAGGCTCTAACACAATGTATTTTCTCTTACAGTGAATGGCATTTCTATACCTGCAAAAAAAAACAAATAAACATAAAACATAGAATTTTAAGTTGTTTTTTTTTATATGATTTTAGAATTTGGGATCATTTGAATGAGAATTGGTCAAGTTATTAGATTACGAAATTATATCAATTTTTCTGAGAAACCCTGTACTTTAGATTAACAGTCAGGATGGTAACCCAAGTTCGGACAAATAACATCTGTTTATTTGCACCATCTTTCTGGTTTGGTAACCATCTGATTTGAAAAATACAGTGTAATCTTTTTATGACTATCAATCTGTGTTATAATAGAAGGTTTTTAACACAAATATACCATTCACAATGGTTACCACATTCAGCTGAACTACTAGACCCAGATTAAAAAAAACAAAAACACTAAAAGCACAAAATTAGGTATTTTTTTTTTATTACAAAGTTGTAATCAGTGTTACTTTTTGTGTTCCATACAAACATCTGTTGTTAAGTCCAATTCTTGTTCACTGACTGAAACTGGCCAACCAAGCAGTGAAACAATAGGTTAATTTGCTCCAGAAAGAAAAAGTTCATTAACTTTTACCTAAAAAAAAAAACAAACAAAAGTGTCAGTCTCATAGAATAACCTAAATTTGTCTGATCCACTAGAAGTATAATGTTTTTCCTGCTTAATTCATTATTACTATTAACAAGGCTACCCAATATTGCCTGGGCAAAATAATATTCCTTTAATTTCTATCTAAATTTCTGGAAGAAGTTATCATTATTTACATCATTTACACTTGGCCTATTGTCCTCATCTTTGTTGTTATTATTACAAAGTTTCAGCTGTTGTGTACTCTGACTTTTATCAGGTGCTTGTCAATCTGGAAAACTTTCAGAGGATTTTAAATTGAACTCTATTTAACCTACAGGATAGATTGTTCTCAATTTGCTGACCACATTTAGGGATCTTAAATATTATTAGTGAAACACAAGATTCCATCTAAGGAGAAACAAACTTAAAGTAGAATTTAATCTCTGAAGTTCTGGGATGAGAAATTATCATTATTTACATTTGAACTATTGTCCTTATCTTTGTTGTTATTATGCTTTGGCTGTTGTGCCATCTGGCTTTCATTAGGTATTTGTCAATCTGGGTAATATTCCAGGAATTTCAAACTTAACCCTTTATTTAATCTATGGGGTTTAGTTGTTTTTATTTTGCTGACAATGTCTATTGATATCTCATCTATTTCTTCTCAGTTACTGCTTGCCCCATTAGAGCTGTTTGTAAATTTGGTGATATATACATATAAGTAATGAAAATTTCTGTATGGATAATCCCAAGGAGGATGTAATCCAAAGAGCTCAATGTCAAAACAGTTCAATTATTAATTCAATTTAAATAGAAAACAGACAATCTTAAGGGTCCATTGATTCTAATTTATTTCTCCAGATATAGCCTGAAGCATACATTAAAACTATAAATATATGTGTGTGTGTATGTTTTGATCACATTAATTGTGGAGAAAATTGTGGTGATGAAGGAGAAAACCCACACCTTACCTCAGAAAAGAATTTGTGTTCTTTGTGTTATCTGTTGAAAAAGAAAATCAGAATCAAGATCAGGTCAACTTTAGTAAGCCTCAAAAAATAGGGTGTTTGCTCTTTTCTACTTGTCTTGACCAATTACAACCTTTCTTACCCCAATAAAAGAACCAATCACAACCTCTCTTACCTGAATAAAAGAACCAATCACAATCTTTCTTACTCCAATAAATGAACTATACTTTAGGCCACAGGATTGATTTAGCTCTTTGTGGGTGAAGAGGTAATTGCACATTGTGATGTTAATTTTTTTACTCTTTTCATTTATGACATTAGATTTTGCAAGACTGATTTTTGTTCCTTGGAGTTACAACCTTTGACATGATTGTTTTTTATCTGAACCTCATTATTGCTAATTAACTCTAGACTAATGGTTCCCAACCTTTTATTGGCCATGCCCCACCTAAGCATCTCTAAAATTCTGATGCCAACACTGACCACTCTTTGACATATAATTCCTTTTATTCAAAAAGTGAACCTCAAAGGACATCAACTTAACTTTCCTTAAGAACTTGAGACTGCATATATGCAGTAGTATTATCATTTAAGTTTAGAATTTTATAATATTCATAAAAATATTGTGTTATTAATATAAATATATATCATATATAGTACATATGTAATTACATATGTACATACACACAAATATATTTATGCATACATACTGTATATGCACCGTCTGTATTAATTTGTAGGAATACTATGATTATTATTATTATAAATAGATAAAAATAAAATATAAAATAATAATGAAAATTATAAATAAAATAAAACAATAATATAAAAAAGTTGTATAAAATAAATTAAATAAAAGTTAAAAATAATAAAAATACTCACGTCTGTGATATGGCTTGTAATACTATGGAGTAAATTTCTCCCTTTTATCACATGTGCCATAAAACAATTTTAACCTAAAAAATACACACAAAAAATATAAATAAATTGTATGAAATTAACATACAATTTACCATGTTTTTCCTGTTATTTGTGTATGTTTTATTTCCTGTCAAGTATGCTTTTATCTCTGTGAACATGCAGCTAATTTCTGCTGCTATGATGAGAGTGAACCACCATAAACTTGCCCACTCACCCATACTCAAAAGGTAAAAATATTTACTGTTTTTAACTCTTTTTTTAATTTCCCACCTTAAAAACCAAATTGCCCCCCCCCCTGTGGGATGTACACCCCATGTTGGGAACCACAGCACTAGATGCAACTAATATTACAGTATTATGAAATTAGGTGAGGTACAAGTCCTCATAGCTTATGGCATATGAGGTAAGCAAAAATATACCCAATGCCTGAACTTTACATATAAAAACCAGCAGATATATTTTTGGCTATTCTTTTTGATGGGGAAAATATATTTTATCTGCCATCATGTAAAGTAGTTGAGATGTTTTATTCCTTGATCAACAATGATATTTATATTTTGGATACCAGTTAATAATTTGCTTCCTTTTATATGTGTCCTGCTGTTGGGCCCTAAGATAGGTATTTACTGATCCAGGTAACTATTGGGGAATTTTGAACTGAACCCTTGATACAGTCTGCAAGGGCAGATTGTTCTCATTCCGCTTTTTGCATCTAGGTATATCTCACCTGTTCTCTTTTAGTACTGTTCAGTTATTGCTCACCCTCTTTCCACTGTGTTTAAATCTATACTACCTGGCCCAAGGATTGAATTCACAATTACTATTAAATGCACAAACCTGCACTTCAATCCACTAGGCTAATGTCCAGATATCCCTAGACATGGACAGCAGAACATGATCAATCCTTAGAGTAGATTAAATAAAGGGTTCAATTTGAAATTTCCAGGTGACCTGAAGAAGGCTGGAGAATGGTTGAAATGTTGTGATAATGAGTCTGTGAGCCTGAATAGAAATAATGGAAATAAAAGAATGTCTTCAGCAATTTCAGAACACTCTCAATGGAATTGCAAAATGTATACAGTCACGTCTCAGCATAGTCGATGACCATTGGAGCAACAAATAGAAAACTGTAAAGGCTTGACTTATGTAAAAGAATGGCCTTGAATTCAACTTGAATGAGGACAACATTTATTTTTTTAAAAAATGATAGAGGCCAAAATATATATTATATATAACTGGAATTTTAATGATAGATTCCACAGCACACAAGTGAAAATTGTGTCTAATAATGGTTGACTTTCTATGTTGGTAACTTTGTAGGTGTTAATGCCACAAATGAAAGAGTACTTTGTTTTATAACAAATATTTGTCTTTAATGAAAAACCTGAAACCAGTTGAACAAAAGCCAATTTGTCTGGGTTTTGTTTTATAGAATGAAAAACATCAGTACAAAAGCATTTTAATGATGGAATATTTCCCAGTGAAGCATTTATCATTTTCAGTACATTTTTTGTCATTAATATGCGTCACCCTATTCTGATCATTAACAATTCCTTTCTTCCTGATTTTCAAAACATTCCTATAGTAAAAGTGGCTTATGGCCACATCACATTAAAAAACTGGTTCCCATACAATTACTGAAGTTAAGCAATGTTGAGCCTGGTCAGTATCTTCATTAGTGACTGCTTGGGAATACCAGGTGCTGTAAGCTTGGATGTGCAGATGGTATGATGGATAATGGCTCAGAATTTCAAATCCAGTTCATTTTATTATGTAATTATATTATTATTACATTATATTATATTAATTTACATGCAAATACCCCTGAGAAAGATATGATTCTACCTCTTCTTCCCCCATATATAGGTTAATTAGTAAGACTTGTATCATTAAATCATTATTATTTCAAAAAAAAAATTCTTAGGATCTAAAAATATTTCCTGTATTTAAATGACCTGCAAAAGGTTGATAAGCTATAAAAAAATGAATGAATGAAATGAATCAATCAATCAATATAGTAAAAGTATTTGAAATATTTTTCTATATTAACACTTTTAGTAATACATTTATATTATACATATTGGAGCTCTATTTATCACTAATTGTTGACCATTAGCAATCCGTTTTTTTCTGATTTTCAAAGCACTTCTATACTAATAAGTATTTGAAATACTTTTCGATATTAAAATTTTTATCAATGCATTTATATTATAGTCCTATTTTCTCACAAATTTTTGCATTAATTTTCAGTGCATTTCTACATTAAAAATGTTCTATAATACATTTACATTAGACATATGATAATCTTATTCAATAAGTAATGTTGGAATTAATTTGTGACAACTGACAATCTCCTTTTTCTGATTTTCAAGTACTTCTATTGTAAAACCATTTGAAATGTTTTCTCTTTTAAAACCTTTAGCAGCATATTTGTCTTCTACACATAATTACTGCATTCTTTTTGGTAATGCTTGCATTAATTCCAGACCACAATCTCTTTCTACCTGATTTTCAAATCACTTCTCTTGTAAAATCATTTGAAATGCTTTCTGTCATAGTCATTTAAATTACACCTACATTATACATGCACAATTTGATTACACTGTCACTATTACTTGAAATCCTCCTTTTTCTTAATGTTTGCAGCACAACATGCAGATTGAGTGTTGAAACAAAATATCAGTAAAGAAAATTAAAAACTAAGTTTTTATTCATCTTATTTTCTCAACACCAAAAATATTACATTAGTTCATCTTTTATAAACTTGAGTAAGGCTAAATTTTACATACAAAATGTTTTACTATCAATCTTTATCTATCTCTCTCTCTCTCTATATATATAAGTTTTACTATCAATCTTTTTTATATATATATATATATATATATATATATATATATATATATATATATATAATTTTACTATCAATCTTTTATATATATATATATATATATATAAAAATTTCTGTAGTTCACTGCTACCGGCAAGCAGAAATTTTTTTCTCCTGATGATGGCCATGTTGGCTGAAACTAGTCGAGGAATCTAAATAAAATAATAATAAAAACAAAAGAATATTAATATACAACCCAGTGTGTCTGAAGATTTTAATTTTTTTTATTATTCAATATATATATATATATATATATATATTTGCATAATAATTTTAAAAATATATTTCAATAAATATTTCATGTGTATTATATATATATATATATATATATATATATATTTGTAATTCAAATTTATAAAATTGACATATATAAGTGGTTAAAATATTATGTCTCTGTTAGACTAGTCACTTTGATGTCATTAGAAATTCTCCTCTTTGACTGATTCCAACAGACTTCTACTGACTTTGAGTAATTTATCTAAGGTATCTTGCCTAGCTCATATGTGTTACTGGAGGTGGCTTATTTACTCCACAACAATAAGCAATGTTTCTCTCAGAGTGTTTTTGCTAATTCATTATGTTTGCATAGAAAGCATGTATATCTGCCTTATCAAAATTCAGTTGTTAAAAACCCTGAAGCATTGATAATAAGCATTGTAATTGTCTGTTATTTCATATTACTACAAATTAGTTGAACAGAAAAGAATTTTATGGAATTATCTAAATAAGTGCAAATAACCTGTTTAATTATATTTTCTTAAAACTGTAACAATAATTTAAACAAGTGAAAAATAAGTAAGTTTGCTGAATTTATTATTAAATAAACATTAGAAAATTATTCAAATTTTTTCTTATGATCTGCTCGATATAGCTATGCCCAGTGTAACAACAAAAATTTTAAAAAATAGGAGTCTAGATGAAAATGTTGTTTATACAGTTAATTTTACAGAGGTAAGTGAACTTCTATGACAACTTTTCTCTGTTGATAGAACAAGTATTTGGCTTGTGAAGAAAACAGCAAATGTAAATAGGGCAGAGGCAGTTAAATCAGAAAGCACTAATAATAAAAGAGAAAAAAATTCCTGATATATCTCAGATTTAAATGCAGTTGATGCTTATAATTCTGACTCTTTTTGACAATTATGTTTATTTTATGTCATTATTGGATATTACTGAATTTATAACTTATACATCTTATAAATTATTATAATTTATTTTCAATATACATTTTATATTGGATATTATGACTATTTTTTGTTCCACTACAACTTATTTTGTCACTTAATATGTAATCATCGCAATAAATCAAAATTTTGGTCTATTTGTTTGATAAAACCTGTTTTGATGATTACTGCGAATATTGGAAATGTAGAATATTGGTTAGCTTGCCAGTGGTCTGATACACAAGTAGGCAAGTGTAGCCAAAGCTAAGACTATATTTAGTCACCCCCCACGAGGGCATCATGTGGCACAAGGCCAGTTTAATGTGCGATCTCTGTGCCCGTGGGCTCGGCCAAAAATATGCCCATTGAACCCGTATAAACAGGTTCAGGGTTGGTTTACCTCCCCAAAAGAGAATCCGCCCTTCGGCGTAGCCTCCCTCGGGTTCCCCCTGCCCGAAGGCAGAGAGTTCAACCAATCAGCCAACTTCAGACTGAACTCAGACCAAACCACTGAGCGTAGCCGAAGCTAAGACTGACTTGAGTCATTTCATGGAGAAATATATGGGTGAATAAAGACCACTCATGCAAATGTATTGGGCAGGTCCATTCTAGCAAAATGGATCAACCTGACGGGTGTATTAGGTACTCTCCTATAAAATGGGGTAAAATCATCCTCTTCAGTTAAAAAGGACACTATTGCAGCATCTTCTACCCAACATACCCCGCATCCGTCAACCCCTCTCAATAGAGAACCAAGTCCTAAAAAGACCTCTCCTGTGAAAAAGGCAACTCCCTCTACATCTTCTGATAATCAATCCCCACACCCTTCAACCACTCCCAGTAGAGAACCCAGTCCTAAAAAGACCTCCCCAGTGGAAAAGGCCACTCTCTCTACATCATCTACCCAACAACCCCACACCTTTCAACCCCTCTCAGTAGAGAACCCAGTCCCAAAAAGACCTCTCCAATGGAAAAAAACACTCCCTCCACACCTTCCGCCCAATATTCTCAACAGGCAAAATCTGCCCATCCCTCTATGCCTCTTAGTAGAGACCCTAGCCCTTTAAGGCAAAGCTCATGCCAAACTTCCCCCACTAAAACACCTGATATGCCCCCACCTACCAACAAAAGGCAAAGGAGTCCCACACACGACTCTAAGGAAAAAAAAGAAAAAACATAAATATATTTTCAACTCAGGAGAGGAGGTATGTTGCATTTCCCCTGCCCAAGCTGAAAAAGCTCGAGACTATGGAAATAGGATATAAAATCTAAAGTATCTCCTCTCCATAAAATAATTCGGTGACAAAGACATTGAAGACCCGAAAAACTTCCCAGAAGCACAAAGAGTGTTGACTGTGATAAGAACTGGGGCGGGGCTAGACTCGTTTGGGCTATGCTTGACGAGGCAGTTACCTCTTTCAAAATGTCCCCTCCCATTGCTATAGTCGAAAACGACAAATTGAAGAAACTGAAACAATTTTGTGCTGGGAGGGTCCCTGTTTTTGTTCACCCCTCCCTATATAGTGCACTAAAATTGACCTTTCCATGGGATATAGGTGGTCTCTCGCAAGACGGCTCCATCAACAATGAGATGGGCCTCGGTTCAATGGAAGAGGCTGTCGGTATCCTTACCCCGACCATGTTCAAATCAGTGTCCCAACCCTAATTAGGTCTGATAATGGCTCTCTGGTTAGCAACTTTGAATGTCCGGGGCCTGAGGTCGGAGTCTCGAAGGGCGAGGCTTGATCTTCAGTGCCTCGGGGTGGATGTATGTTGTGCACAGGAGACCGTTTTTTTATCTCGCGATCATGAGGACATTCTGTCTAAGAGGTTCGTCCTCTATTCAGCATGTTTTGATGGATGCTCAAGGGGTGTTTCCTGGTTGGTGAGCAAGTCTCTGGATGCGGTGTGTGCTCTTGTCTTCGTGGATCCGGCGGGCAGGCTTTGCGTGCTGTATGTTGCCATAAAGGATAAGGCTTTTCGTCTCATTGGGGTTTATGCGCCCAGTGACCATGCGCAGCGGCCTGGTTTGTTTCAGCAGATCGAGCTGTTTTTGATGACTTCTCGTTCAGTAGTTCTAGCGAGTGATTGGAATGCCATCCTTGATCCCGATATAGATCGTATAGGGCAAAAACTGGGTACTAACAATCCGGATGTGAAATCGTTTCGGGGCTTTATCGACGGGTTTGATCTCGTCGATAAGTACCGAAATGAGTACCCCCAGGAGGTAGTATGGACTTGGACTAGGAACGGCAGCTCGGATACGGTGGTTAGCGCAAGCTACATCGACCGAGTTCTAGTTAAGAGAGTTGAAGTAGGATGTCCAAGTTTCCACTTTATAGTTTACTTGGATCATAGGCTTGTCCGGGTTCGGGTAAACTTAGATAAGCCTAGGGTTAAGATGGCTGGTTACTGGAAATTAAACTCATCATTATTTGGTGAGCAAGATTTCCAGGACCAGCTTTTACTAATGTTACAGCGGGAATTGTCAGGGGCTGTGGTTGGGAATAAGTGGTAGGGCTCTTTGAAATCAAAACTTAGGTCTTTTGCTGCTGATTTTAGTCAACAACTCAATCTAGCAGGGCTAGCAGCGCAAAAGTCTCTTGAGGCCAAAGTAGATCGGGCGATAAAATCCCGTGATAGTGGGGACATAGCCTTAGCTAAGGCGGAGCTGGCGTCCTTGCTTATTAAGAAGGACCAAGCTCTCGTAGTTAGGGCTAGGATAAAAGAATGTCTTGTGAGGCTACGAATACGGCCGCTTCATTGCGTTCAGAGGAAGCTCGTAGGGCATCTAGTCGGCATATCGCAAAGCATCACATTGCCGCACAAGCGGACTGTGACTACAGGCGGGCATTTATTGAGGCTTTTCAGGACTACTTTCAGGAGCTTTTTACCAGGGAGACCGGTCTGAGCCCTGCTCAGTTCGATGCCTATTTAGCCGACTTTCCCAGCCTTGAGTTGGCTAGGTGCGAGGGTCCCATAACAGAGTCTGAGATCTGGGATGCGCTGAAGCAGGTTGGCCTGGACAAGACTCCGGATTAGATGGTCTTCCCTATGAAATGTACTTGAGGCAGTCGCCCGTCTTTGTCCCCTTGCTGGCACTGATTTTTAACAACTGGATGAGGCAGGGTCTATTCTCAACGCTTCACCAGGGGTGTGACTGTTGCTTTGCAAGAAGAAAGACGGTGGGGATGGGGTAGATAATTATCGGCCTTTGACGATGTTAAATACAGAGTTGAAGATTTTAACCAAGGTCTTAGCTGACCATTTGCAGGTTGTCCTCTCTAGTCTGATTGGTCCCGAGCAGTCTTGTGCTGTGAAGGGCAGGACTATTCAGGACAACCTTCATTTGGTACGCTTGATCATCAAGAAAGTCGACAGTGATGCCGCTGATCAATTTAGATCAGTCCAAGGCTTTCGATAGGGTTGACCATCGGTTTCTGGAGGCTGTCCTTTCAGCCGCGGTTTTCGGGCCGGACTTTCGTGACTTGATCCCGACTGCTGGTGCGCTGGTAGAAGTGAATGGGGTAAGATTGAAACCTTTCATTTTGTCTCGCTCCATTCGTCAAGGTTGTCTGCTGTCTCCATTGCTTTTACGTTCTTGCGTTGGAACCTTTCCTGCGTAAGTTGAAGACGAATCCGGTCCTTCGCGGAATTTCCTTACCTGGTGCTACCACTCGGCCAGGTACTCCGCCCTATGCTGATGACGTTTTTGGTTCTGGTGTCGAGTAGGGCTGAAATTAACAAAGTCAGCAAAGAAATCAAGGGTTATGAGATGGTGACGGGGGCCAAGATCAACTGCGCTAAGTCTGTTGGCTTGCGGTTGGGTTCGTGGAAGGGAGTTTCTCTTCCCGGACCTTTCCACTGGACGGACGGGCGGTCAAGATACTCGGTCTTGCGGCGTCTGGTTGGTCCCGACCTCCTGTTGGAAATGAATTGGTCGGAGGTGCAAGAGAAGGCCGAGCTCATCACTCGCCTGTGGACTCGGAGGAATCTTTCCTTGAAGGGGAGGGTGGAAGTATGTGCCTCGCACATCTACCCGATTCTCCTTTACTGACTCTCCCTGCTTCCACTCTTGTCTGACACTTTATTGGCTTTTGTAAGGCTCTTGTTCTCCTTCTTGTGGGGAGGCAGGGCCGCCATGGTTAGTCGCGAGATCTGTTACCTCCATCCTTCTGATGGCAGTCTGGAGGTGCCTTGCATTGAGACTCGTCGACATACGCTTCACATTACTTATCTAGACCGGATGTGTATGCAACTGGATAAGAACAGCGAATTCTGGAAGGAAGACATCCATTAAACATTTTCCATCCTTGAGAAATGTGTGCTCGTGTGAGGAGGAGGCTGGTTGTACTCTTCGAGGCGAGGGCTCTTTCTATCGTGAATGTCGGATTGCCCTCAAGCGACTCTTACGGGCGAAGGATGGCCTCTCCGACGTCCAGCCGTTGTCTCGTAAGGCATTATATCAGGTGTTAGTTAGGAGGAATGTTCAAGATGATCTGATAGGCGATCTCGGTCTGACAAAGCGGGAGGCTTGCTGCATATGGCCTTGGGCGCCTGGGTTGAAATGTCTCACTAACCCTGAGGCATCACTCACCTGGCTGGTGATTCGAGAGGCCCTCTGGGTCGCCAAAAAACTTCGCGCAGCGGTTTTGGCTAAGTCACCAAACTGCGTTCACTGCAGTGGGGAGGTGGAGACCCTAGGTCACGCCTTCTTTCATTGTAGTGTCGTCGTTCCGTTGTGCAAGTTTGTTGAAGATATCATGGTTCGCATGCTGTATGGAAAGTTCTTTGTCCTCGAGGCCAGTTCCGTCTGTAGCAATATAGTACCGCGGTGACTAAGGCTGAGCACTATGTGTTCCTTTGCTTGCTAGGGATCATGTGAGTCGTGATATAGATGACGTAGCAGAAGGAATTTCATGGGGACGAGAAGTTTACCTCTTCCCAACTGATCTTGTTCTTTAAGCATCAGCTTAAAGTCAAGATCAGGACGGAAAGGAAGCGACTCCATCCATTGGAATTTGGCGAAAGGTGGGTGAGTCTTGCGCGTCTCTGCAGAGTGAAAGGTGCTGACTTGGAGTGGCATTTTGATGCCGGTTAGGCATTAAGAATTTTGGGATCACTGGGGTGAACATTGGCAACCCCTCCCGTGTATAGGTTAGTTTAGGTCTGTTTTGTTTTAGTTAGTTTTTCTTTTTTTTTTCCATGTTAACTTAGTTAGGGTATGTATGCTCATTGGCCCCCTTTTATTTCTGGCCCTATTTTTCTTCTTTTTGTTTAATTCCCCATCCCTCAAATCATTAGGTGGTTAGTGATATCAGTTCTCTGGTGGGTGCGGGGCGCCTTTCGTTTCGAGTCTGTCTTTCATATTCGTTGTTGTGTTTGATTGAGTATGTGTTTGTAACGAGTGCATGGATTGTACGAATGTTTTATAATTTTTTAAGTCCCGCATTGATTTCGTCCAGTTAACTGATATTACTGCCACAGTTAGGGCTGTGGGGGGTTTTACTACTAACAAAATTTTTGTTTAGTTTCTTGTATATAGATTTGTATACATTGTAAATATTCATAACATAACATCTAAAAACCCCAGTTTTTAGATGTTATTTTATTTCCCCTCCCCCCACAGACAATGATTTGTATATATGTGGACTAGTTAGAACTTCATAGAGTCTCTGAGGCATTTTGGTGGATGTAGGAAGAATGGTATGTAATGGATTTGTTGTTTTGGTGAAAGGAACTTTGTTTGTATGTTTGGGTCAGTGATTGCGTCTTGCCAAGTTTAAAGTTAAGACAGAAGATGACCATCCTTTCCCCATTTTGGCTTTGTGCCACATTTGTAGATAGTACAATAAATAATTACAAGGAAACAGAAGAGGCACCTCGGAGTGGTGTAATGGTTAGCAAGCTTGTCTCGCTAGATCAGTTACAACTGAAAAGTGAGTTCGATCCTCACTAGATGCCCCATACTTTCGGCCTTGTGCCACATCTAAGCTATGCTTGGAAAATAACTACAAGGAAACAGAAGAAGGCAGCCATGTTGGCAGGTAAGTCACTTGACTTCTACAGGAAATAAGTCTGTTGGAGAAAAGCTCTAACTTGTATCCTTAATGTTCTTCTTGCCTCCTCTGCTTCTGTTGCAGACTTACTGTTATGCTTAGTCCCCTCAGCTTCCCTTTCTTTCATATTGCCTTCCTTTTGGCACTGTCATCTTTTTTTCCTTAGGGGGATAAAAGGTAGTTTTTTTTCTTCTGTTATATGAAAACATGTGTTATAGCAACAATTACCATTTTAACCTTTCAGTGTAAGACTATAGATTTTCTTTAATTATTAATGTCCAAACAGGAAGTTTATTAGTGTATGCTTTAAAAAAACAATTTTATCATATTTCCTCATTGGAAATTTGCCAGGAACAATAGAATCTATTTCTTTTATTTTTCTTTTAGGTGACAAATTGCTGCATAATAACACATTACCTTGACACACTGGGAATAAGTTCAATGACGGATTTTTAATTTCCAACAAAGTTTATAAAATAGTTATTTCTTAGCAATTGGACTACTTTCACTTTGGTATTAGAATTTATATGGGACAACTTTTCAGGACTTAATGCGAGAATTGACTTGAACAGAGTTCAACAAGCTTATTAGTGTATGAAAGAATCATTTTATTGTTGTTATAAACAAATCATCCTATTATATTGTGAGACCTGGAAAATGAATCAAGGAGATGACAGATTTGTTGACCTATTTCATAATAACAGTTTAAAAAGACTCCTTAAGATTAGATGATAAGATCATGTGAAAATGACACAACTACTCCTGGGTGACTCTGTAGAACTCCTTAGTGTTAAAGTATGGCAAAGAGGATGGATGATCATTGAGCCCTACTTTAGGGAAAGTGCCAAAAAGCAACATTGACCTGGTCAATGAAGGAAAACAGGGAGGGGGAAGACCAAGAGCAACATGCTGGAAGGATTGTGGAGACAGAGGGGGAAGCAGTGGACTGGTGATCTTGAAATGAGGCATGTGGCAGCTACAGACTGGGTGGAGACTTTGTGTTCCATAAGGCAACAAGCAGATAGATAGATAAAGAAAAGTGATAAATAGATAAAGAACAGAGATAGATAAAGAAAGGAAAGAGATTATATAAAAAAAGAGATAGATAAGAAAAAGAAGGGAAAGATAAATAAAAGAAAGAGATAAGAAAAATAAATAAAGAAAGTGATAGATCAAGAAAAGGGATAGATAGATAAAGAAAAGTGTTAGATAAAGTAATGTGGTAGACAGAGAAAAGTGGTATATAGATAGAAAAAGAAAAGGGATAGATTGATAAATAAAAGTAATAGATACATTAGTTAATTTTAGAACATAAATAATAATCCTTGTTGGGCTATTTAATATCAAAATCATTTTTTTCCTATTCATAAGTATGTACTTTTTGTACTTAATTCGGGGATCAGTAAAAATTGGCCATTTATATTTGAGTTTTCAAGTAAAAATTGGCCATTTATCTGTGTGTCTATAAATAAATATTGGTAGTTTATATGTGAGCAACAATGAGGTCTTAGAGAGGTTGCAAACAAGGAGAAGGCTTACTTAACATCAGGAAGAAGCAGCTAAAGTTTCTGGGACACATAATGAAGAAGGAAGGCCTGGAGAATCTGATACTCAAAGGTTGAATAGAGGGAAAGAGAGATAAGGGAAAGCAGTGTGTGACATACCTGATGAGCTTGAGCAGGTGGATGACAGAATGTGGTCTGGGAGAGAAAGCAGAGGGGTGGAACTTGTTGAGTGCTTCAAGGGATTCAGGGAGGTGGAGAGCCTTGATCGCCTACGATTTATGACACATAAAAAGAAAGTAGATATTTGAATTTATAAGCATTTCTTTAGTTCTTGGAAAGGCAAATATTAGTCATTTATAAGTATATATTCAGGAGGTGGCTCCATTTGTAAGGCAGGTGACTTACATCACTGCAAGGGATGCTGTCAGTATATTGTAGACCCAGCCCACAAGGCACTGTATGTTTGTGTAAATTAATATATAATATAAGCATATTACCTGTCTGTAAAATTATGTTTTCAAACTATATTTGGTCAAACAACCTGAAAGTTATTTCTGAGCTGGATTTATTTTTTAAAATAATGGCCATTTGTCAAAATCAGCCAATATTCATAAAGTTTCCTCTTAGTCTATTGCATTCAGTTTCACACAAATGTCCTTGGGAAAAGCATGAAGGTATTTCTTCTTCTCTCCTATGGGTTAAACAGCTAGATAGAGTGGCATGACATGCTTCCCAAAATCTGACAAAATCATCAAACAAGATTTGGAGTGGGGGTAATGGATTTTTGGTGAGACTTACGACTTTTTAACATCCTATTCTAAAATTGGATCCTACCCTCACCATGAACATACAAAAAGCAATCCCAATTATTGTTTGTTCTGTTGGATTAATAAATGAAAATCCATAACTTCTTTATGAATTGCTTTGTTTACATTAGAATATAAAACTGTGCAGAAATGTATATTTTAAGAATTTGGGAAATATTTGCATTTATAAAGCTCTATTTAATTTTGCTTGATCATTGATGCCCTTTGTAGTCGTTGGGGTTAAAGCATGTCAGATCTAAGGATGGTTTCTCTTACCCAGGAGGACACAGGTTCAAATCCTGCCAGAAAATGTATATCTTTCTATAATTTCTCAAATACTCAGACTGGTAGAAGAAAATTAATAGATATACTGTTTAATAAATAAACAGAGTGTCTACGCAACTATACACTAAAAATAATATTTAACTAACAAAATCTGTTGGATTAATAAATAAAAATTCATCACTTTTTTAGAAATTGCATTGTTTATGTTAGGATACAAAATGGAGCAGATATATATATTTAAAGATTCTGGGAAAGATTTGCATTTATAAGGCATTATTCAACTTTCATATATATTATAATTTTTTCATATAGACAAAAAACAATTTATTCACAGAGTAAATTGTTTTTTGTACTGAGTCAGTATTGAGCCCTCTTTTGAATTAATGCTTTGAACGTTAGAATTTATATATTATTTTCATTCTGATTACAGGCAGATATCTTGCACATTAAGTGCTGGTATTAATAAAATAGTGTCACACACAATATAACAGAACTATAAACTATATATTAATAAATATACATTATTTTTACCACCTGAAGATTATGTTGTGCATGAAACTCCTAGTTGTGTAATGGTGAGGGAATATATATATATATATATATATATATAATTGATTAAGTAATGAAGAACTTGGTAATCCATATGGGTAATCCCAAGGAGGATGAAATCCTGAGAGCTCAATGTAAATCCAGAGCTAATATTTTAAAGAAAAACAGACCACTTTAAGGTACCATTATAATAATTTATTTCAGAGAGCCCCTTTTAAGGCGCGGATCATCAGATAGCACTTCCAAAAGGTTTTTCATTTCATTTCATTTTTGGAAGTGCTATCTGATGATCCAGCGTCCTTTAAAAGGGCTCTGGTGAAATAAATTATTATAATGGTACCTTAAAGTGATCTGTTTTTCTTTAAAATATATATATATATATATATGCAAAAGTAAGTATACTGTAATGAAAAACAAAACATATTGTATTGATTATGCAATATTGATTATGAACAGATCAATAATAAACATATCAATTCTTCAAATGTTCTATTTGCCCCCATCATCCACACACCTCTTTACCTGCAAAACATTTATTATTATTATTATTATTATTATTATTGTTGTTGTTATTCATTAAAAAATAAAAATTATAATAAATGTATTATATTAAAAATGATTTTAATGTATTAAATGAATACTAATATTAAATGAATTATAATACAGGTATAATACTTAATATATATCTACTTTTGCACATGTATATTTTTTCTGTGGATTTTGTAGGCTATGTGTTTATCATTGTGCAGAAAATAATTTGGGTATTGGAGGAGTTTGAAAATGATTTTAATGTACTTCTGACAGGAATTGGGGGAGGGTTACAGATTTTAAAGCCTCTAATTACTTTTACTCCCATCACAACAATAAAATAAAATCCAGAGTAATCGTAGACTTTTATTTCAGAGCCCTTTGAATCTGTAGCCCCCTATTTCTGCCCAAAAATAAATACATTAAAAACACTGAATTATTTCCTGAAAATGTGTGTGTGTGTATGTGTGTGTGTATAATTTTTGTCAACTAAAGTCGGGCTAAATTTAATTTGCCCTTTTTCAATTGATACATTCCGCTAAAAAACTGATAGTGTATGGAATGAATTATTTAAAATGGACATTTGAAAAAAATAAGTTGAAATAAAAATGTGTTCTTTGAAAAATGGGGCATATAAGTCATTAAAGATTTTTAAAAGAATATTTATAAAATTAAAGCAAAAAATACATTGCCTATTAAATATGTCTCCAGCTTGAAAGGGCTCAGATCTGCACAGTCTGACTAGCCATGTTAATTTTATTTCATTCTTTGTTTTTTTTCCTTCCTTCTTGATTATGAACAATATCAATAAAATGTATTTTGGTCAGTATTTTGAGGCCTGGAGTTTAAACAATTAATTTTGGATTCAGCTGAAGTCAAGAATGACAACGACACACTATGAATGATTTTATTGCTTTGAAATAAATATACTTGAATGTTGACTCACTTAGGCTGAGCCAGGCCCACCACCACCACCACCAGTCGCCACTGGTGTGTGTGTATATATATATGCATGCACAGATGAAACCATACATTTTGATTATTTTTGAACAGGGATATTGAGATAACAATAAACAATTGATAATAGTAAGCAAAATATATAAAAATAGTAACAATTTACATTAACATTGTTTTAAATTCTTTGTTATAAACATGTTTGCATCATAAAAAATTAATACAAAATAATTTCTTCACTTAAAGTTTGATAACATTATCTGTGCTGACATTAAACACCTATATTTATTTGTAGCTATCTATCTATTTATACATATGTGTGTACATAAAGGTGTGTATATATATATATATATATATATATAAGAAGAAGATGCTGAAAAATTCTCAGCCCAATCAAGAAGAGATTCTAAAAGGAGTTATGACATTTGTAGAGTTTGTCAGATTTTGGGAAATGGGACAAGCTGTGAAATATTCAGCACTCTGTCACATATATAGTTAAATAGATTAGGACTGTGTGGACATAGGAATAAACCCTGCATAGTGACTGTCAGTTTCATGCTTCAGTTCAGTTTTCATAAGTTCACATTGTGCGCATTGGTGATGATTCCTACGTCCACACTGATTGTGACTATAAACGTTCTATCTTCAATAATGATTATATTCCTCTATAAATATTTCCAATTTTATATATATATATATATATATATAATATTATATATGTGCAGTACTTATTGGAAAGTGCCCAATATCAGTGATAGAGCTAAATATTCATTTGTGTGGATATGAATTGAGGTTTGATGATCGCAAAAACGTGAAACCCAGGCTTACAAACTCATGTCCATACAACTAAATATATATATATGTACATACACACACATATATATATATATATAATAAAAAAGAACAGCAATGTAAATTGTATTTATTATTAATAGTATGCAATATCAATGTTGGAGACAGTTATAGATCAATGCTTAAAGTTAAGTTTAAAAACTTTCAGAAATGTTTAATATCATGATCTTTTCAAACAAGGAAAACTCTTATTGGACCTGTATTTTAATTTTGAACATAATAGCCAGTTACTACTCGTTTTCCAACCACACCTGCCTGACTGAGCAGCTAGCCAAACCCTATTAAAGGTACCTGCTTCACCCATAGAACCCACCTATGATTTATACTTAAACTGTGTTGAGCAGACATTTGGGAGTAAGTGTATATATAACCTGGCATGATAATTTTTTTGAACAATGCCAGTATGCTCAAGTTCTCAGTCTCTATGACTTGCAACTTAGATGCTAGCACAGCCATCAATGGATTTTTAATGTTTCTATCTACGCAATTTAATTCACAAGGCTTGGGTCAATCCATGGTATGGTTTTCAGGCACTTTTCAAAGTTGCTGCACACTAGGATTTCCTGTTCACGTCAATAATATCAGTTTCATAATTGAAACAATTACCATATGTAACATGCAATGTTTATTTTAAATACAGCTGTACCTTTTTGATTACAGTAAATCAAAGTTTGGTCAACGGCATTGCCAGGGTCAGCAGTACATATACTAATTTTATATCTCATGTATGATGCAACCCCCTTAAAATTAGCTTCAAAATTAGGTTTTCAAAAGTTGCATGATATGCAAGTATATATGGTAACTCATATCCTCCTGGTCTCAATTTCAACTGATGTTTTATTCACAGTGCATTTTATGCCACCATGGTTACTAC